TGGTGTGCCTATAACATCAAGAAGAGTTAGGTTGAAGAGCTACCTTACGGCAACGTGCAAATACGAGAAGATTTTTTATAGAGGTTTGACTATCACTCGGGGCCACTTCAGACATTTTTCTTAATCCTTCAGAAAGCTACTCTGTGCTAATTACACAGTTAAAGAGGTATACAGACACCTGCTACTTCAGAATAGTGACCTCCTTACCGTCAGAGTGTGACTTCTCAAGCCAGAGACTACACTTTGTATGTGTTCACCATCATTTGGACCCTGACAGAGTGCACTACGGCGTGAGATGTCCCGTGCTGTGTCACTGGGAGGGGGAACCCGTGGCCCTTTTGACTCTGAGGAGCACAGCAGCAGCGGTCACATTGTCGCCTCTGCCGTTTACTATCGGTAGAGAACCTTCTTCCATAGAATGACGACGCAGAAACTTGGCCGTGTGGTACATTTTATCATTTTACAAGTTCCTAGGAAAATAAGGCCACTGGAAGGCAATCTCTTTTGCTTCCCCGAGGGAATGCTGGACACCGTGCTGTACCCTGGCTGCGGGAGGTGGGGGTCAGGTGAGTACGTAGATCAAACTGCACGACAAGAGAGACACATCGGACTATGGCTAAGGGTTTTCCCTTGGTTCGGGAGACACTCCAGTTTGTTACCAAAAATGCATATTTGGTGTTCATACGTGGCATCTGTTTTCTCAGATGTATTCTTGAATGTCTACCTACACAAGATGTTACACTCAGAGTCAGACTTGGCCACGTGCACAATACCTGACTTGCAGTATGACCCAGTCGAGTGACGAACTCAGAACTTTGAGACTAAAACATCTGGTCTGAGTTGCTGCAAATGAAGTGTGAGAAACATTCAGACACAGAGAAAACCAAGCTGGCCGCTCGGCTATTCTTAATTAGAAAAAGAGTCTTGACAGGGAAAAAAAAAACAGCCTCTGCGACTCGCGTTCGCAAGCCATTTAGGACTCAAAGACTTCCTTGAAATAAGCAAGGTATCTCACAGAGACGTTGTCAACATTTTTTATTTTGTATCTCAAAAGTCTGCCCTACTAGTGAGAATTAGTCACAACGCTCATCTCTTTGTAGGGGAGCAAAACTCTCTCAGAAAGAAAGCTTTCCATTATTTCTCAGAACCGGGACCGGGTTCGCACCAAGAGTGCTGACCTCCCAGGTGAAGTCCCAGCACCTCTCAGCCAGTTTCACAGAAACACTTGGAGGAGTTACTCCTGGGGCCCTAGACCTCGTTCCACACTCCCGGCCTCTCCCGACCCGAGTGCAAATTCTGCTCCAGAACCCGTGTTCCGGTCACACAAAGCGCACTGGTGCGCCCCCAGCGCCTACTGGGGCCACCACCATGGACAGCGGACGCCACACAACATTTACTAGTTCAAAAGAAGAAAATAAATAACTTGGGCTGAGTTATAAGTTACCTTAAAGACAGGGCTTAATAATTTACTTTTGTCGCTTTTTTAACAAAAACGTTTGGAGGTAAAGAACGCTTAAGTTCCTAATCGGTCTCCTTTTGCTTCGGGAGACGGCTAGGTTTCTAGAAACGCTAAGTGTTGCTTCCCACTGGGTCATCCCTTGGCACCAAGGGAGGCTCTCCGGGGTTAGGGCCTCACGGGCAGAGTCTCCTTAAACCCGGAATGGTTGGGCGTGGCCTCTGGCAGGGCCACCGGGTACTCGGTTGTGGCAAAGAGCAGGGTGTCCAGGGTGGTCTCCGTACACTTGGCGATGAAGCGGATGAATGGCCTCACGTCGCCTTCGTTGGCGACTTCTAGTACGTGGTAGTACTCGGACCTCTGCTCCTTGCGGATGGTGATGGGGGGGTAGCCCGCCTGCATCAGGATGAGGTTCATGAGCAGGCGCGAGGTCCTTCCGTTGCCGTCGATGAAAGGGTGGATGTAAACCAGTTTATAATGGGCCAGGGCCGCAAACTCCACCGGGTGCAGGTTCATGGCGTCCTCGGAGTTGAGCCACTGGATGAACTCCTCCATCTGCTTTTCCACGTCTTGAGGATGGGGAGGGATGTGATGTCCCACCAGGACCTGTGTCGTCCGAAACCTGCCAGCTTCCACTGGATCCACGTAACCCAGCACCCGCCTATGGATCTCCAGCACGTCGCCGATGGCCACAGAGCCGATGCGGGAAACCAGCGTTGTGTTGATGTACGTCATTGCTGCGTGCATGCCGATGACCTCGTTCTGCTCCTCCAGGCTTTTCCCTGGCACGGCATAGCGGGTCTCAAGGATGTGCCTGATTTCCGAGAGGGTGAGGGTGTTGCCCTCGATCGCGACCGTGTGGTAGATGTGATGGTAGTAGGTTTCCTCCATGACCCTGCGCAGCGCGGAGTTGCCCTTGGGGATGGACATGACCTTCTTCACTTTGCTGTCGATGATGCTGAAATACCTCTGGTCGATCTCCTCCACCAGCGGCAGTGTCCGGTCCCGGTTGACCAGTGCTTTCTCGTGGTAGGGCGAGATGGTCAACGCTCTGGCGTACAAGTAATCGGCCTGGACGATGTCCTTGTCCTCTTCGGAAAAGATGCCGAACTCGTTGAGCGCGTCTGCGAAGTCTGGGTCCATCTGGAGGGCGTGCAAGAAGAGCTTGTGGGCTTTCTCTCGCTTGCCTTGGCGTTTCATTTCCAGGGCTTGGTTCAGAGCTGCTTTGGCTTCCAACTTCCCAGCTAGAAGAGAGCCAAAGAAGCATGGGTAGGGAGGGCACGGGATGTTCGGGGGCACTGTCCCCTGTGCCGGTGCTTCAGGGGGCTCGTCCCAGTACTCTCTGTGTGTGTGGATGCGTTTGTGCCCCACACCTGGTGTGTGTGTGTCCCCAGAGCCACAGCCTCCACCCTGGGAGGTATCACCTGGACTCCCCAGCCTCCAGCTTTCTGAGGGCCGAAGTGAGTGGCTGTGGCCACAACTCCTGTCAGGTGGCCCTCCTGTATGATCTTCTCAGCTCCTGTCCCTTCAGGCCTAGGCTGTGAAAGCACCCCCCCCCCCCCCCCACGCCCCGGTGCCAGGCCCTGGGGGCTTCCCCACCCCTGATCTGTTCTTTAAATCTTTTAACCCAGTGATTCTCAAGCAGGGGTGATTTTGTCCTTTAGAGGACATCCATCAGCGTCTGAGACATGGTGGGGCGTCACAGTTAAGGGCGTGAGGGTGCTACTAGCATCCAGCAGGTAGAGACCAGGGAAGCTCAGCCTCCTAACAGTGCACCACAGAGGACAGCGTGGGGGTAGAAACTTCTCTAGCTCTAGCCCTCCCTCACCAGCCCTCCACCCACCGCTGAGGGTCATTAACACATACTTGGCTTCTTTTCCTTGGATGCCCAAGCCCTCTCACCCTCCGGGTCTCTGCCTGGTGCACTTTCCCCTCATGCCTTTTCCTTTTGGTCATTTTCCTATTTACACTGGGGTCTCAGCTCAGGCATCCCCTCCAGGGAGCCTTCCTGGTGTGCTCCCCTCCTTCCCCATCACCAGGCTGGTGATGCTGTGCGGCAGTCATTTGTCAGCTTGTCTGAGCCGGGAGCTCAGGGTAGACCTGTTCCCCATAGTGGCCCTGTGTCCTGCACACACGACCCAGTATGCACTGTAAATATCTATGAAATTAACAAGTGTTGAGGAGAGCTGGCCAGTCTGTCTTACCTGGAGAGGCCTTGGTCCTGACCGCCAGCAGTGCCGCATCGCCGGAGGTGACGCTGAGCTCTGTAGACGGGCTGGCACACTTGGTGACGGCATGCTGCACCCTGTCCAGCTTGCTCCTGAGCAGGTAGAAGCCTTTGAGCACGGTCAGACACTGCTCTTCGATGGGCCCCAGCGGCAGCAGCAGCGCCAGCAGGGACCCCAACACCATGCTCAGCAGCATCACCCACAGGAAGCGGCCCCAGACGGAGACCCACTTCGGTTCAGTCACTGCCATCACTGAAGCCATCGGCATGAGTGTCATCTGGACGGAGGGGCAGGCCCCCTGGACATACTCCGTTGCCTCAGAGCAGGATCTGCAGGGGACCAAGAGTTGTAGGAGATGAAGTGGGGGAAGGGGACACACGCAAGATGTGTTGCTGACTTCAGCTGGGGCTTGGAGGCTCCCACACCTCATATTTCACTATGACCAGGGGGATTGAGGCAAGGCAGGAAGTGCTTATAAACGGGGAGGGGCCAGCCCGAAAGACTGGTGCCACTTCCAGGCCGTTGGGACTCTGAGCAGTAATGCTACCGCACTCAACATTTATTGAGCGCTTACTGTGTGCCAGGCCCCATGCTAAGTACCAAGGACCTCATGCATACTATCTCTTACCAGTCTCCAACAGGAGCAGATGCTATCTATCGTCCTCCCACTTCTCCAGATGAGGAAACAGGCTCAGAGACGAAGCCCCTTGCCCCAAGTCACCCAGTGAGTAAGTGACAGTCTTGGGACTTGAATTCAGGAACTCTCCCCCAACCTCCCTTGACCACAAATCTCTGTGGCCACACATCAAGATTGGCCAAGGCAGTTCTGGGGCCTAGTGTCTGATACACACAACTATTTTTGTGGCCTGATTTACTGCCTCTTCATGCCCTCACCCAGGTATTAGCCACAGTGCTGCTCTCCCCTCTCTGGCCTTCCTTTCCTGGCCTGCCCAGCAACGAACTCACCTAGAGCTTGGGCAGTCCAAGCATCTCAAAACCTCCAGCTGTGGGCCAGAGTGGGTGACCCACTCCTCACCCTCCATCGGGACAGTGGGCAATGTGCTTGGGGCTGGCAGTGGAGATGGAGGGGTCAGGTATGCAAGCACCATTATGCTGACAATAAGCATTTATTGGGCAACTATGGTGTACTGAGCACTGGGCTGCGGGGTAGCCGTGCATTATCTCACTTACTCAACACCTTATGAAGGAAAGCTACCCTTAGCTCCATTTTACAAAGGAAACTAAATCAGCAAGTCAGTTTCTAGAAGGCCATGGGAGTAAACAGAAGCATGAAGAATGAATCCTCAGTGCATCTAGGAAGAGTGCCCAGGTCTTAACCTCTACCTTATTCTCAACCAGGGCCCGTGTACCCCTATTCCGGCCTGCTTCTGGTGCTGGGCCTCCGAGACCCAGAAATGACTGATGAGGTTTGTGATCGCTCAGGGCTTAGAGTCTAATGGGGAAGCTGGCTCGTTGATAACATCTGAAATGGCTTGGTCTCCGCCCTAACGGGGGTACGCTTGGCGTGCTGTAGGGGTTTAGAGGAGGGTGTGAGTCACTGCTTCATCCAGGTGCTTTGTGCGGCTCCCGGAGGGACGGGATACACGGCAGGGCTGGAGTTCGCCAGGGACGCGGGTCTGCGCAGGGGAGGCAGGAGATGCGAATCTCACCCCTCACTACCCTAGGAAGGGGGAAACTGACGCCCAGAGGGTCTAGGCTACAGTCCCTCTGAACCCCGCCCAGGACTCACTCCCCCGCCGCCCCCTGCCCAGCTGGCTCTTTCCGAGCCCCTTGGGCTCTCCCCCCCCTCCTACCGCGCGCGGGTTCCCACCCTGCAGCCGACTTCCAGGCGCTCGGAGGTCCCGCAGCCGCCGGCTCCCAGGCCCTGCTCCGCCGCCGGCCTTCTGGCCCCGCCCCCGGCGCCTCGCCTCGCCATTGGGTGGTTCGCCATCCTCGTCGTGGCGGATTGGCTTCCCCAACCTGTCCGCCCCTCGTACTTCCGGGTTTTCGCGTCAGCTCCTGCTTCCCCGGGAAAGATGCGCCGTGGGCCACTCCCATTGGCTGGCTCCTGTGTTGGTCTCGTGCCCGCAGCGGCCAATAAGCAACAGGCGGGGCGGTGCCCGGGCGAGAGGCGGGAGTAGCGTGCGGAAAACCCGCGCGGGCGCGGAGATCTGCGGGTATGATAGATGCCGCGGTCGGAAACTGGTAATTCCGCCAGCCCCGGAGTGCTGTGCTTCCCTCTCCACGTCCTGGGGGCCCTTCTCCTGGGCCTCCTTTTCCTTAGGTGTGAAATGAGGGTGCTCTCCACCCTGTTAGTCTGCCGTCACAGCCCCTTGTTCTTAGCCACGACGCTGTCCCAGGGTTGCCGTCGTTTCTGACCTCTTTTCCTTTTCCTCCCTGAGTTTTTAATCTGGCATCCGCTCGAGAAGGAGCTGGCTGGTTTATTTAGCTTGCCAGGGACATAGAGATTTTTCCTTGAAGCAGAGAGCTGAAACTTCCGTCTTAGTTCACAAATATTGAAATTAAACACCCAGGACGTGCCCAGAAATGCTAAGCATTAAGATGTTAGCCGATAGACTGGAGCCAGAGGGACCCCGGCTGAAGTTCAGACTTGGTCACCTCCGCTCTGTGAGACCTTCGGCAAGTTATTCCGAGCTTCAGTTTTTCCATTTGTAAAATGGAGACAAACTGCCTCGCCTTTGGCCCCAAGTTCAGGATTTGCAGGCCAGACTCTTCAAGATCTGACCTTTTCCATGACACACATTCCCCACGGGAGCCACTATCAGGCAGTGGTTGCGGGCGTTTCCACTGGAAGCCACACAGCCCTGGGTTCCAATCCCAGCTCTGCCCCCTTGCAAGCTGAGTTACATTCAGCAAGTGACTTGGTCTATCTCACCGGTTCCGTTTGCTTTTCAGTAAAATGGGGACAGTGTGATGACAGTACTTCATAGAGTTTTATGTGAGGGCGAAGTGAGATCCTACATGTCTGGCACAAAGCTGACGTTTGGTGAGTATCTGCTGTTGCAGTTATTCCTAGACAAGACACCAAGTCCTTGCTGTTTTTGTTATTCACAGAAGAAACTGTTAGAGCTGTAGGCTGCTCCAACCACGGGGGAATGACTCCATGTCCTTTCTTAGGTCTCAGCCTGATCCAGTTGAGGGAAGCCACTGACCTACAGCACAAAGGAAGTGTCCTAACCCAGGCCAGAGGTGTGCTGTCATGAAAGATACCGTGGGGGCATGGGGTGGGGGTGGGGGTGGGGGTGCGGGGCATTGCAAGGTGAGGGACCAAACAGCTTTGGCCCTCGCGGGCTGCGCTTCCGCTTATATCTGGTAACTCTTCCCCTATTCCCCCAGCCCCCGGCCCTTGGCATGGAGAACGGCACAGAGCAAATGCTCAAGAGATTTTGTTGACTCAAATAAGAGCTATCTAAAACAGGACAAACCATGGTGTTTTTAAGAAACAAAAAAAAAAAAAATCAAGATGGTGGTTATTTCTGGGGCTTCTTGTTTCTATCTTTTTTTTTTTTCTTTTTAAAATGTATTTATTTTGAGAGAATGTGAGCAGGGGAGGGGCATAGAGAGGGAGACAAGAATCCCAAGCAAGCTCCACACTCAGTGCGGAGCCTGACATGGGACTCGAACCCACGATGGTGAGATCATGATCTGAGCTGAGATCAAGAGTCAGTTGCTCAACCGACTGAGCCACCCAGGGCCCCCGTATTGTTTCTGTCTTTTTTTTTTTTTTTAATTTTTTTTAACGTTTATTTATTTTTGAGACAGGGAGAGACAGCATGAACGGGGGAGGGTCAGAGAGAGAGAGGGAGACACAGAATCTGAAACAGGCTCCAGGCTCTGAGCTGTCAGCACAGAGCCTGATGCGGGGCTCGAACTCACGGTCCGCAAGATCATGACCTGAGCTCAAGTCGGATGCTTAACCGACTGAGCCACCCAGGTGCCCCTTGTTTCTGTCTTTTGAACGAAGGTCTTGAACACGGTTCCCTTGAAGTGCCCCGAATTTTCACTTCTGATGGCCTGCATAGTAATGTTGTAAAAACTTTTCCCAGAGGAGGGCCAGGCTACCCTGCTACCAGTGAATTATGGAGGATGGTCAGTGGAGGGGAAAGCAGTGAGGCTCGGGGGCCAGACAGATAATGTGTTCAAACGCAAGGCCTACCTGGACTAGGTCACTCACCACACTGAACTGGATATCATGGGGCTTGTGGACTTCTGTCTCCTCCCAGGCATAAGATGACATCATCATCCGCTTTTATTTATTTATTTTTTTATTATTTTTTTTTTAACGTTTATTTATTTTTGAGACAGAGAGAGACAGAGCATGAACGGGGGAGGGGCAGAGAGAGAGGGAGGCACAGAATCGGAAGCAGGCTCTAGGCTCTGAGCCATCAGCCCAGAGCCCGACGCGGGGCTTGAACTCGCAGACCGCGAGATCGTGACCTGCGCTGAAGTCGGACACTTAACCGACTGAGCCACCCAGGCGCCCCTCATCAGCCGCTTTTAAAGGCACTGTCCGCTTTCCACCTCTTTAGGCCCCAGTTCTTTAATGAGCTTAGACCGTGGGGAGCAAACCCAGAAGCTGCATAAGAACCATCAAGGAGTGAAATCGCCTGGGCCTGAGACAGTAGAGGGAGGTGGGGAGTGTGGAGAAGGTGAGCGTACCTGCCTTATCCAAGGTGGGTAACAGCTCATCTGCTCTAGCCTACCTTTACTGTGTGAAAAATGTATTGTGTCCAAGAGTTGACAGATTTTCCGATTTTTCACAAGAAATGTCAGGCCTAGATCTCGAAGCAAGCTCTCCAGATTTTTTAACAGTTGGCATCTCTGCCCACTGGCCATGCAGGGCTGCCAGACTGTAATCCCTGTTTTAGGCTTTTAAAATGGGCGGGAGACGGTGGCTGGGAACACAGGAAGTAACGTCACAAATGCCCACTCAGCAAATGACTGCACCACTGTCGGTGACCACCAGGGGGCAGTAATTCACCAAACATCACGTCTCCCGTTCAATCTTTGTCAGGAGATCACACTCAATTTTCTTGACTTTGTCTGCATTCAGCTGTGTTGAATGCACAAAATATGGTCCCTGAAGCGAGATTGAAAAGTCGGCTTTCTCCACCTTAAGCATTCTATACTGGGTGGAAATGGCTTCCTCGTGGCCCACGCAGGAGTTTTCTAAGAGCTTACCTTGACACTTGACAAAGAACCTGGAAAGTGGCTGCTTGGAAATGTGTCCATTATGCAAAACAAAACCAAACAAAACAAACCCTTATGCATCTTTAAGAAACAGCAGTCAAGCGCTTCTTGCTGGCTGAATCGGATTCTATTGCTTAGGAAACACAAAACTCCCCAACTCGAGGCTATATATTGCATTGATGGCTCCAGAATGACTCAACGTCATTTAAAAGAAAATACACCAGACTGGTTCTCTCTCTCCCAACTCCCGGGTTCTTCTCATTTCCCAACCTGCTTGGATTTTTTTTTTCTCTCTCCTTCGAACTTAGAGCTGCTGCAGAAGAGGCCCCCAGCAACCCTTTTCCCCGACTACTGATGTCCTCCGTTTGCACACCCAGTGGGGTCCAGGGGGCATCCACAGGAGACAGGGTTTGGGATAGGTGTCCTTGGGCCGATGGCTCATGCTTGGGATTCAGGATGATCTCAGACATGCAAAGAAGTACTGTTTTCAGAGCAATCACTTGGGGAAGTGATGTTTCCGACTTTCAAAAAATTAAACCATAACTGTTTCCTTTTCTCATTAAATAACCCAAATAACCAACTGCCTACTTAATTTTTTTTTTTTTAATTGAAGTGTGGCTGGCTGGCATACAACATTATGTTCGTTTGGGTGTACAACACAGTGACTTGACAATTCTGTGCATCACGCAGAGCTCACCATGAAGAGTGTAGTTCCTGTCCGTCACTTTACAATGTTATCACAACTACTTTATTTCCTAAAAGCATAATGGGATCACAGATATAATAGAAGGCACAAATAAACAATAAGAAGACAAAAACATCCCGTGCGCAGTTGTACTAGGTATTTTTTATGCACACCTATTTTTAAATCATGAAATATTTCAGACATCCAGAAGGCATAGGTAGTAAAATGGGTCCCTGGATGCCTCCCCGCACCCCCCCCCCACCCCCACCAGTTTAAGAAATATACTATATTACCAACATAGTGAAGCCCCGGGGCACTCTTTCCCATATCACCTTCCCTTCCTTCACTCCGACAGATAATCACCGTCTTGAATTTGTTGCTTATTACATCCATATATGGCCTCTTGTTTTTACCCATAGGTATATATTCCTCAATGATATATAGCGCTGTTCTGCATGCTTTTACATGTTATATATATGCTGCATATCCTTCTTCTTTTTGTTGTTGTTGTTTTGTTTGGCATTTTGTTTTAGAGATTTATATTCCTATTGATGCATGGAGTTCTGGTTCATTAATGGTACACTGCTATGTAGTATTCCATTTAACAATTTATTTCCCATTTACCTGTTGATAGGCATTTAGAGTATTTCCAGTCCTTTTCTATTACAAGCAACATGTCAGTGAAGTTCTTATATGATCTTTTGGTGTGTGTCTGGAAGTTTCTCTAGGGCAGAGCTTCTCAACGAATCACCTGGGGAGCTTTTAAAAAAACACCCTATACCTGGGCCTGCTCTAGACCGATAAAGTCCTCCAACCTTTCTGATCCTTCTGTATCTTGGCTATACATGGAAATAATTGTATCGGTCACACTATCTCATTACTGGTAGTGGTAACCACCATTTATTAAGCACTTACTGTGTACGAAGTAGTTTATGTGTATTTTATTGGACTTTTGGAACAATGCTGTGAGGTAGAGATTATTAAGCCCACTTTACAGAAGGTAAGACTGAGGCTCATAGAAGTTAAGTAATTAGTCTGAGTCACACAGCAAGCAAGTGGCAGAGCCAGGGTTCACAACCAGCCTTCCTGACTCAGAATTTGTGGTTTTAACCACTAGGAGACTCTATGATCTCAGAGCTGACAGGTTATGCTTAGGCTCTTCAGTTCTACAGGTGGAGAAACTGAGGCGGATAGAGTGCAAGGGCAAAGCCAGGACACAAATCCAAGTCCGTAGACTCTCTCTTTATTCATCAACACATCACTTTCTTATGTAAAAGTACTTTGAAGAAGGGAATGAGAAGCAAGGAGGGAGAAATCTTAATAAAGTCATCTTTTCTTCTCAAGACAGTTTCAGTCTCTTAGGGGCAGCTGGATCTGCTCTGTATGGGTTATCCACTGCTGTGTAACAAATAATGCCCAAATTTAGCAGCTTAACACAACAGTAAACATTTATTATTTTACATAGTTCATATGTGTCAAGAATCCAGGAGTGGCTTAACTGGGTGCGTTTTTAAAAAATTGTTAACGTTTATTTATTATTGAGAGACAGGGAGAGACAGAGCATGAGCGTGGGAGGGGCAGAGAGAGGGGGAGACACAGAATCCGAAGGAGGCTCTAGGCTCTGAGCTGTCAGCACAGAGCCAGACATGGGGCTCGAACTCATAAACTGCGAGATCGTGACCTGAGCCGAAGTTGGACGGTTAACCAGCTGAGCCACCCAGGTGTCCCTCATTTTTTTTTAATGTTTATTTATTTATTTTTGAGAAAGAGAGCAGAAACTGGGGAGGGGCAGAGAGAGAGAGAGGGAGACACAGAATCCAAAGCAGGCTCTGGGTTCCTAGCTGTCAGTGCAGAGCCCAAACGCAGGGCTCAAACTCATGAACCGTGGGATCGTGACCTGAGCCGAAGTCGGACGCTTAACCGACTGAGCCTCCCAGGTGTCCCTAGTTGGGTAGTTGCGGCTCAGGATCTCTCTCGAGATTGCAGTTGTTGGGGCGCCTGGGTGGTGCAGTCGGTTAAGCGTCTGACTTCAGCCAGGTCACGATCTCGCGGTCCTTGAGTTCGAGCCCTGCGTCAGGCTCTGGGCTGATGGCTCAGAGCCTGGAGCCTGTTTCCGATTCTGTGTCTCCCTCTCTCTCTGCCCCTCCCCTGTTCATGCTCTGTCTCTCTGTGTCCCAAAAATAAATCAAACGTTAAAAAAAAAAAAAGAGATTGCAGTTGTGATGTTGGCTGGGGTTACAGTCACCCGAAGGCTTGACTCGGCTAAAGAGCCATTCCCAAGGTGGCTGAAAAGTTGGTGCTGGCTGGTGGCCAGGGGCTTCCGTTTTTCTCCATGTGGGT